TTATTGAAAAACTTATTTAGAAAAGCAAAGTCAAATGCACAATCATACTGTTCATCATAATCAGAGAAGGAATTCATACCTAAATCAAAATATTTTTATTTATTTAATCATATTTTTATCTGAGAACTTAGAGGTTCAAGATATATATATTATATATATACATACACTTAATCTTCATTGGCATTTAGACAGGATGCAATCCAGTGTGTTATTTAATTTTGGTTTTATAACATGCATTGTCAATGAGAAAATATATATAATGATTAGTTTAAACTACATGTTTCTCATTTTCTTAACTACAAAGTACAATCATGTTGTATGAAAGAAAAAATACACGCATGTTTTTAATTTGAATAAATATCAGAGAAAATTCTCTTTATATATATAATTATTTACAGTTGAATAAAAATAAATTAAGTAATTTTATCTGTTATTTGATCACCATGATAAAATTGTTTAAAAAGTTATATTTGAATTAAAATTGTTTGAAAAAATAGATTAAGTATATTTTAATATCATGGGCAAATTTTTAAATTCAGCTAAAAAAATCCTAAATTTTGAATTAAATTAATTTTCCCTACTTATAAATTCTGTCTAAAATTTGTTCTTTTTCTCTATATAACTTCACACATAAAAATCACTCTATCTGCATAAAAAAAAACTCAAATAACTATCAAAACACAACTTAATGATATAGAAAAAGAAAGTTTGGTAAAACAAAAAAAAAACAACATACATCCCAAAAGGGAGCATATATTTTAAAGAAAAAAAAACACTCTTTTCAATAGTAAAATATCAATATTAGAAAAATTAAATTATTTAATAGAAGATGGATATATAATAAACATATCATAATCTTTCATTTACTAATTTGCCTAATTCTCTATAATTATATACATATTTTCATTTGAGTAGAAAAATATTAATGGTACTTGTTACCTATTACATTATGTAAATTTAGCTTCTTTTATAAATTCAAGATCTGAAATAGTGTGAAATTTCCAAACAAACATTTTATTTTTTTATTTTGGGTGTGTATGGTAAGCTCGAACACATATTACAGTGTCTCACTATTATCACATGAGCTCCGACAAGATGCATAAAGAATTCAAATATTATGTATATATTACTAATCATAATAATGTATTACAAGATTGAATAAATAAATATATTAATATTATGTGTTTTGATGAAGAAGATTTAGATAATAATTAAATAATTTGAAATATTATATGGTAAAATATATTTAAAAAACTTTAAATAATTAAATTTAAAAACTAATTTGATTTGTAAAGATTATAAAATTTACATTTTCAACTAAGTAAAAAAGAATTTTCTCATTGAAAACATTGTGAGCATAACATCAATAAAGAAATCTGTCTCATTGAAAATATTGTTGGGATAACATCAATAAAGAAATTTTCGACTCAATTACATTTTGGAATGTTGTTGATTGATATATATTTTTTCTAGCTTGATTTGTTTCTTATAAGTGAAAATCAATAGTGATTATTTCTTTATTGTTGTCAAGATTGTTTTGTTAGTATAAGTTAATGCTGTTTTACAACATTAGAGTTTTTTTTTTCATCAATATTAGTAGTGGTTAATAAATTTGTCTTTGTTATTTCGAATTCATTTTGATTTAACAGAAAATTTGTAATTAGTTATATAAAGGTATATGTAATATTTAATTTTTTAGATTGAGTATAGGACGGAGACGAACATTAGAAAAAAACAAATGAACATATTTTTTACATTTGATAATAATATTATTTTTTTTTGTGATTTTAATTTTTAATAAAAAAATATTTAATTAATATTTGAAAAAATAGACAAATTTAAGTGTGTGTGTGTATATATATATTTCTAAGAAAGATCAAGTTTGTATTTATCTTTAAATTAATGTTAAATATCTCATAGGTAAAAAATAATTATTTAGCAATGGATTGTAGAAGGAAAGTGTTATATTTTACAGGGGAATGAAGACCTAAATTAGTATTTTTACTTTTTCTGTACGAAAGAAGTTATGATTGATCATACATATATACACTCAGAGGAAAAGTGATTTGAAACTAAGAACAAAACGTGCTTAACTTTATATAAATAGGAAGGCAAGGGAATAAGTATGATATGAAATATTATTTTGTCCTTGTTTGTAAAATAATACACAATATCTGACAAAGTTGTAGAAGCAGGATTTGCAATAAGATTCTTGGACAAGGGAACCAAAGAGGACCAACGCATTCAATGAAGCCCATTAGTCAAACAATAGAACCAAAATGTAGTAAATTTTTTGGGGAACCATCTTAACCTGATAGCCCTAACTTGGTAGTATTAGTAGGTCCAATGTGATAGAGTGTCAATTGACTACGCCCATTTTCCAGCAACCATTTCCAACTCACACTCATTACCAAGTACTATTAGATTCATTCACAAATACTCACACAATTGTTAGCTGATGGTAGACTTTCAACTCTAAGTTTCGTAGAAATGAAAAAGTAGAGTACTGTATAAAATTAAAAATTTATTTATTAATTCATTGTCTTAAGATTTTGGATAAAGAATGATATTCATAAAATAAAGCTCAGATCTCATATGTGTCATATTTTTCAACGAATCTAAGTTTCGTAGAAATAAGAAAGGAGAATACAATATAAAATTAAAATTTCATTAATTCATTATATTAAGATTTTGAATAAAGAGTGATATTCATGCTATAAGGCTCGGATCTCATATTTGTTGTATTTTTCGAGTTAACTTCCTCTTCCATGGACGAATTAAGAGATTCATCATGTCTGCACCAATTTATTTGTGTTCCATGTCTTCAAATTCCTCAAAAGCGACACATGACCATGATTCATACGTGAAGGCCTGTTTTCTTAAATATCAAGTTTTCAACTCCCACTTCACTAAACCAGACATAATCATAACTCATTAACTGTACAACAATTTTTCCTTCTTACGTAAAAACACAATCCAACAATTTACCTCTAAATGACATCTATGCTCTCTTTACGATTGCTCTTTCAGTGCTGTGTATTTGTACTGTGACCCAAATTTTACTCCAATTTGAAAACAACGGTATTGGTATCCTCAAAAAAAGTAAGTTAGGTGCAGTGACCTGTTACCTTTTAAATTAGCAACATGTTAAGAAATAATGGTGGCCAGTCATTTCCTTTGCCCTACTTAAATAACTTGTACCTTCTTTTTAAGTCACTTCGCAATATACCTGCACAATCTTAATCGGAATCTTTTCTATAAAACTATTCTTTTTTATTTTGAGAAATTGAAGGAAGAATACTATGTTAACATTTATCATAAATGAAAATTTATGATACTGTACGCATGCATCGTGTTTTGATTCCAGTTTCATTAAAAATGAAATGTTAATTATTCGTGATCTGTATTGATATATTTAACTAGAGCATGGCATCAGTTGATGTAACAAAAAGTTGGAAGTTTCCCTTTCTGAAAGACATGATAAGGTAATCAACGAATTTAAGACCTGCGGGTTGGAAGATCTTCCCGGCATGAATTAAGAAATCTAACCAAGAAAAAAGTGAATAATGTGAGACAGCTAGTTGGTAGAGTATGAACTTAAAAAAAGTATGAGTGAGTTTTACATCAAAAAGTTGCACAGTTTCTTTCATCCCTTTGAAATTTAATTAAAAGCAATGCAAGTATATCCACAGCATGACTCAAACATTAATCCATATATGGTTTACGAAAGTAAAATATATTTATAAAGTTTCATCTGATCTGATAACCTTTTTATGATGATGCTAGGGGAAATACAAGGTCAAGGAGCAAAAGAGCACACCAGTTAAAGTGCTTGCTGCACACAGAATGAACAAAATGTATTGGCATCAGACTGTCATCAGGAGACGATTATCTTCACGTAAAGGCACATGGTCGGCTTCATCTTTTTTCGCCTTTTTCAAAGATCAGCTTTAATGATCAAAATAAATACAAAATCTAATTAAGAAAATGATGATAAAGGTCTGTATGATCATGATCATGTTATTGAGATGATGATGCTCATCATGGCCATCGTCATCTCCTTGTCAAGGCATAATTTGTGTAGGACCATCGAGGAAATTGCTTTGCTTTGAGCTTATTTTTCTTAGATATATAGATGTTATGTACATTTGGTTGTAATAGGTGTCTAAGATCGACACCAATACCAAATCCATTGTTTTTATCTTGGTAGCAGCTTATTCTTTGAGGGTATTAAATCAATAGTTTGGAGAGGTTGGTTGAAGCGAAAGGATAGAGTGGATGTGTGGGGTTGCAAGTGAGTGACAGAGAATCATGTGGGTCCCCCAAAGGGTTAGCAAGACGATTGACGCACGAGTGAATGAACAGGAACATAGAGAAGAAGGTAACACGCATGAAGTATTAAGCAAAATGGAAGAGTGACACGCAGGATAAAGAGAAGTGCTTGTCTGTGTTTGGCCTCCAAAACAACCAACACTCAAGTCAGACCAATCCCATCACCAAGATATAACCAACGGCATAGGGCAGGACACGTGGCTCACATGCAGACAATCCATTCGACTGATACAACAACAGTATTCAATCATGTACATATAACATGGTATAACAAATAACTAGAATTTAGGTGTTTAACCAGGAATTCAGTTCTTTAGTTTATACGTGCAGTTAAAAAAAAATCAAATTTTTGAACTGATATTAGTATTTTTGAAGAACTTTCAGATACCCTTTTAAAAAAAGTATAAGAATATCCTTTTGAGGTTTAGTGGGGAGAAGCATGATGAGGAATGCAGAGAGGATCTTTTATCTATGCAGAGAGTTGGCCCCACACAAGCTTCTTTTCAATAAGTATAGGAGCACTCCAAAGTCATAGCCCACTTGCAATGCATGCTTTTTGTAATTCAATCACTGAGCACCAATTTTCAAGCTGTTGGGTGAAGAAGGAAAAGACACTGCTTCCTCCTTTTCTTTTCATTTTTTTCCCATGTCTTCTTTTCCCCTTCTTCTATTCCATTCTATTTACTATTCAGTGGATTTATCATGGCATGCTTTTGATACATTGCCATGTTGACTAATCCCAACGAACCACTCCTTCTCTCTCCTCTCCCTGCTGTACCCCGTAACACTTGGTTAGGAGACATTGTGGTACTCATTTTTCTTTAGTTGGTGTCTCCCTGGCTGTTTCTAACCGAAGCATAAGTTACAGACACACCCTATTCCCTCTTTCTCTCTCTGAGGATTACTTGCATAACACTACTACTAAAGCACTCAGCTTACAGCTTCTCATCTTCATCTATGCTCCTGCTAGCCCACTCTATCTCTCTACCTTCACTTTCGTTACTCATGCTGTTTCACATCATTTCTTCAATTTCTACACTACACCTACTTCTAAACCATGCAGCCTTTTCAATTCTAAAGCTTTTTCTGCTTCCTAAGATTAAATCAGTTGCACCAATAATACAGCAACAGGTATGTTCTCTTCTTGCTCTGTTTGGCGTTTGATGTAGTCTTTTTTATTTCTGTTAGTGTAGAGCATGAACTATATTAGAGATAAATATGTGTGACACAGTGAAATTATTTAATTAAAGCATTAAGGTTTTGACTTCTCACTCCTTAACCAATTAAAAGCTTAAAGTTGCTTTTTCGTTTTCGTTTTAAAGATGAAGAATACTTTTGTCAGAGGATAATAGAATTTTATGAAAAAGGAACTTGCGTTTGAAAAGTTCCAAAAGAAAAGTGACAAAAGTAAATGATAAAAACCTTCTAGTGGGGGTGACAGTGGGTAACTGGCAGAGAGTTTGTCAATTCCAGAAGAAGAGAATGTTCACATAATTGGCTAAACACCCAATTGAATGCCATCAAAGAACATAAAAATAGATCACATTGTTTCAGCATATAGCTGACTTTAAAACCATGCATACACATTTCTGGATTTCAGTGTTCATGGAATTGGGATCTGTGGGAATTGCCTATATGGAAAAGGTGCTATGGCTACCCTTCGAATACCATCTTAATTGGAAGAAAGAACAAGAATGGTTGGTTTTTTATTCTTCTGTGTGGCTGAAGGCAATAAGTGCCATGCCACAAACACTGGTTTTTACTTTTTGCTTTACCACCATTTGTCTGTCAAAGCACAGACCATGCTACATGTCAGATTTTAACAGTGGGGAGGGAGAGCTTAGCTCTAATACCACATCCTTTATCAAAATTAATTTCCACTGCCTTATTTTTAATCTCTCAAGTTTTCTTTTTTCATTTACAATTATGTCTCTCAATCCTAACCGGTTTCATCTTACATCTAAAGCATTATATATGACTTCTTAACTTGTTTAAAAGGGAAAGGCTTTTCTTTTTAAATCATTGTGGTTTGAAGATGTGCTTTTCAACTGCTACATTATATTTACTCACTACTATGTCATGCTTAGTTTGTCATCATGTAATTTTATTAATTATTAAATGAAAGAAAACTAGTAGGACCTGATCTGTGCAATTGAAATTTAAAGGATTAAGAAGACTACAAATGCTGCTAACCTTTTTCTAATAATTCAAACTATCTCAGTGATTCCTGGCCAAAATTGAGAATAAAAGAGAAACAAATTGAAGAAAGGAGAAAAGGTTGGCTTCCACCTTTCTTGATTCCTATATGGTTAGTGGGGAATAAGATAATTGAGATGACCATAGCAGTGGACCACTCTGGCCTATACTAAGTTTAAACTGAAAAAAAAGAAAAGAGTACATTAGTTAATATATCAAAGTTCTCTTGAGACACTACGAAAGTGACTCAAGAAAGTAGCCACACAAGAAATTATTTGCCTTCGGTTAGGAAGCTTTTGGTAACAATAGTTTTTAGCTCGGAGCATCACTTTCTCTCCGATTTTCATATCATTGTCTGAACAAAGCCACGTATCTTTATATACATGGAATTAATCAAAAGTGTATCTTCTAAAGAGATTGGCATTGGGGTGTGTATTAGTGCATATCTGTTTTGGATTTAGTACACTTTTGAGAGCACTGTATAAAAGCTCTAATCATTAATGTTGGCTCACCTAACACTTAATTCCCAACTTCCAAACATTGCATAAACATGCTTTACCACTATCCTTTCTCTAGCCAAGACCCAACCGCCAAGGTAATCATGTATGTTTATGCATGCTCATTGCATTTTCTGCCGTGCTGCTGCTTCTTTCTTCATTTGCTATTATTATCAACTAGTGTGGGGTTGCATGAGTATTCAGTACCCAAAACATATGCTATTGGCTCCATTCTACTTTTTACAGTTTTTTTTTTCAGTCTTTCTGTGACACAAATTTAAAGATATTAGCTAGGGATGAAGTCATGCAAGGATTATCATGACACGAGTCAACGTCTTAACAAAATTAATACTAATTATAAGTAGCACTTTCCCAATTTCAGATCCCTTGTTTCTCTTCTATTATTTTATACTTTGGTACAAAAACTGTATGTTAGTATCGTATCCGTATGAGTTACAAGATTATCTTCCAACAAGGGTTACCAAATTTTCATGTTGTTCAGTTTGTGTTTCGTGTGTCAGGAACTGCAGATGAGGCAGAAAAATCTGAAGCCTGGTGTTAGTCAGTGAGAGTATTCTGCATCTGCAAGACTTTTAGACTATAGTTAACTTCACCTACTCATCTATTCTATTCTAACGGTTGAGACAGAAACTTTCAGAAGTATACCATAGAGAGAAACAGGAAATGTCAATTTGCAAAACTCTGTAAGCAATTGGCGGATAACGGCCAAAACTGGAATTTGGTTGCTTTTTTTTATTTTTTTTTAATATGTGGAGGGCACCATCTGCAATGAATTGAAGGGCTTTCAGGATTGTATATAAATATCAATGAGGTTGAGGTATGGTCTTCTTGCAAATTTCTCTCTCTTTTATTAAGAAATTTTTTCTCATTCATAAGGGACAGAGTGACCAGGACAGGATATCATGTCATATTCTTCTACCTTTATCTATAGTGATTTCTGATTTCCTTTTCCTTCTTCATCCCTTTGCTTGAAATGAAGAAATCTAAGTTGGTGCTTCCGTGTTCTGCTGTTTCATGGTCATGCATCACGACATAACCCTTTGATTTAGTTCTGAGAGGGTTACATCAATGCCTTCCCTTCTCTCCCTCTCCATGACTTTATGAGATCTATATTGTACTGTCGTTCAAGGTGTAGTCTTACCTGAACTTGCAGATTTTGAAGTAGAGGTTTTTTCTTGACAATTTCTACAAATAAAAATGAAGTTCATGAAACTTGGGACAAAGGCAGATACATTCTACACTGAACAAGCTACCAGGTATTTTGCACTTTGCAGCAACTCTTTGGTCAAAAAAATCGACACAATACAACTTTTTTTTCAAAATAACATGTATTGTCGTAATGCAGGACTCTGATATCAGAGATAGCTGCAGACCTTGTGATTCAAATCAATGACATCACGTATCTGTTACACAAGGTATTGGGATTAGAATGAAAACGTGGTGTGTGTGAAAAAGATAAAAAAAATGTAATAATTGGTTCATCTATAATTGTGCTCTTTTTAGCTGCAGTTTCCGCTTCTTCCCAAATGTGGCCTCCTACAAAGGCTTTGCTATGACAGTAGTGATTCAGAGAGTGTCTCTCTGGAGCTTCATGATATACCAGGAGGAGAAGAGGCTTTCGAACTGTGTGCCAAGTTTTGTTACGGAATTGCAATCAACATAAGTGCCCATAACTTTGTATCCGCTCTCTGTGCTGCCAAGTTCCTTAGAATGAACGATTCCATTGAGAAGGGAAACTTTGTTGGAAAACTTGAGTCTTTCTTCAATTCATGCATACTTGAAGGTTGGAAAGATTCCATTGCAACGCTTCAAACTACTGCTACGTTACCAGAGTGGTCTGAGAATCTTGGTATTGTCAGAAAGTGCATTGATTCAATTATTGAGAAAATTCTCACACCACCACCACAGGTCAAGAACTCAGATCCTTCAAACCTTCTCAGTTTTGTGTGACCGTTGCATTTTTTGGTATCTTACAAACGATTATTCTGTGCAGGTCAAATGGTCCTACACCTACACCAGGCCAGGCTACACAAAAAAACAGCACCATTCTGTGCCAAAAGATTGGTGGACGGAGGATGTTTCTGATCTTGACATAGATCTTTTCAGGTGCATAATAATGGCTATTAGATCAACATATGTCCTCCCTCCACAGCTTATTGGAGAAGCTTTGCATGTCTATGCCTGCCGGTGGCTACCGGGAATCCCAAAGCTTAAAAGTTCTGGCAGTTCAGTGTCTCAAACAGAAGAATCTAAACAGAAAAACAGAAAAATTCTTGAAACAATTGTTAGCATGATTCCTGCAGATAGAGGGTCTGTGTCGGTTGGCTTCTTGTTTAGGCTTCTCAGCATTTCAATTCACCTTGGTGTTTCCTCGGTGACCAAAACAGAACTCATAAGGAGAGCCAGTCTGCAGTTTGAGGAGGCAACAGTGAGTGACTTGCTTTACCCTTCAACATCCTCTTCTGACCAGAACTATTATGATACAGAGTTAGTTCTAGCAGTGTTGGAAACTTTCTTGAAGCTTTGGAAAAGAATGTCTCCAGGTGCTGTGGATAGCAGCTACTTTTTGAGATCAATTAGAAATGTCGGCAAGCTCATTGATTCCTATCTTCAAGTGGTAGCAAGGGATGATAACATGCAAGTTTCAAAATTTGTGTCTCTTGCTGAAACTGTGCCCAGTATTGCTCGAGAAGACCATGATGATCTGTACCAGGCAATCAACATCTACCTTAAGGTGAAGTACCCATAACACTCCTACACTCACTTATCAATTTTTCAGTCCCTTGTTTCAATGCTGCATAATTGCACGTAAAAATACAGGACATTTACAGCTAAAGTAATGAAATTTATTAACGGAAAATGTATTAAGTGCTGGGATTACTTCCCTTAACATGATTTTTCTTTAACAAAAAGTATAAATATGACAAATCTATGGTTAGAGTGTAAGTATGATGAAAAAGTCCAAATTGCATAAGAATGGAGAGTACCTATGAGCATGATGTTTTAAGATTGTGGATTGGACGTGATGGCAATCTCATTCATGTATAAAGTTGAGTTGTTATGATCTGTTGATGGAAATTCTGAAATTGGTAGAATGTAAGAACTAGTGAAAAAGTCTCATAATAGCAATGAACAAGTTGTTGTTTGTCAGATTCACACATAAGTGACAAATTTAAAATGCTAAAAGATTCACATTTAAGGTGCATTTATGAACTGATTGAAGTTATATGCATGCACAGATGCATCCTGAACTGAGCAAAGCAGACAAGAAGCGGTTGTGTGGGATTCTAGACTGTCAAAGATTGTCCCCAGAAGTGCGTGGACATGCAGTAAAAAACGAGCTTCTGCCATTAAGAACAGTAGTGCAGCTGCTCTACTTTGAACAAGACAAAGGGTCTAAGGCAACCTCCAGTCACAAACTGCCAAAGCCACATGAGATACTTCTGGGAGCAAAAGATAGAGCAGCTACCACAAGAGACACCCAAAGCAAACATTCTTTAGGTCCAGCCAAAGAAGAATTCAACGGGGAAGAAATTAGAGAAAGGGATAAGCAGAAAACAAAAAGATCAGATGGCAAATTGGCATTGAACTTAGAAAAAAAAATGGTTATAAGAGGAGACATTGAAGAGACACAATCTGAGAAAGGCAGGATTGTGAGAGATGAAAGTAGTTCAAGCGGCAAGGTGAACATGGATCCTAAAAAAATGATAAGAAGGGCAAGAAGTAAATCAGAACATGGTGTGAAGAAGTAAGATTCAGATCACCATCACAGCAACAGTAATAATAATCTTAGTAACTTCAATTCTTATTATTTCTTTTTTAACTTCTCATAAATGTCAGCAATGTATAAATCCTTTGTACTATCTCTTTCCCCAAAGAGTTTTATCTAGGGAAATTATTTTTTTACATCCTTTTGTTTGATAGAGAGACTCACAGAGATAATGTGTATTAAAAATATTTTTTTGTTAAAATGTCCTTTTTAAACCAATAAGTCCATGTTACAAATGCAGTTTAATAGCCGTGAAATCTGTATGGAAATCAGTCTTTTCATAAATTGGTAAGCTAAAATTCATCTAAATAATACAAAAACTTATTTAGAGATATAAAGAGTGGTAAAGTTGGAAGAGAACAAGTAAGATCATTTTCCTCCACTACATCAAATTGTCTCTTACACTTACATTTCATATTTTTTAATATTTTTATTTGTTTTTTAATATAAAATATTATTTTTATGATTTTTTTATGTAATTAATTTCTTTTTTTGTTTTTTAATCAATTTTCATAAATATTCTTTTATCACTATAATTATATAAAAATATTTTATTTCCTAAAATATAATAATTTATTATCATAATATTTTTATGACGTAAAATTTAAAAGATTTATGTTTAAATTTAAATTATTATTAGTTAAACTTTTTGTTCTTTAGGATATTGTTCAAATAATATATTATAATCTTAATTAGTATACAAAATTTTATTAAGTTTTAACTTAATTATTGGTTTTCTTTATAATTTAAAAAAAATATTTTTAAGCTTATCAAATTTGTTTCTTTTATATATTTTTTACGTGTGTTACTTAGGTTATTTGTAAAGAAAATAAGAATGAGAGATTAAGATTTACAATTACAAATTTCATAATTATCTTCCTTTATATTTAGAACATTTGTAACTAGAAGAGACAAACATGCGATAAATTATTTTTATACTCATTGATGAATTTTTACTAAAATATAAATATATGAAACTCGTACCTTCTCATCTATAAATTTTATCATTCACGATTAGATTGTAATTTTACATATGTACACTTTTGAAGTGTGTTATAATTAAAATAAAAATTAAAGTTTTGATTTAAAACCTTTAAAATTTAAATCAATGAGTAATATTTTTTAAAAGAAACATAGGTAAAATATAAGAAAATAAATTGAAAGAAAAATATATGAAAAACAAACAGTTTATCAGATAAGTAACTCAATATAAAAAAATTAATCTAATATATATATATATATATATATATATATATAATGATTATTACATGTATATTAATATGATATTTTCTTATCATATTTAGTTTAATAATTTAAAATTTAGTTTCAGTTTTCATATTAAAAAAGAATAAAA